TATCAGACTCTCTAAGTTGCTTACAAGATATCCAGAAGTATCCATTCCATGCCAAAAACAACTCTATTATATCCTTGGAAATACGACAAAGTCTCTACAAATGTCATAACTCTGGTATAAATGTTGCTCTAGCATGGATTCCTAGCCACTCGGGAATAATAGGGAACGAGTCAGTTGACTCGTGGGCCAGACAAGCGGTGAGTATGGGCAATACCACTCATAACAAATGTTATGCTCGTGATCTACGAGCACAGGCAAAGCCTCAGTTGATGCAGGTATGGCACCACCTTCCATGGCCCTGTCTGCTGGCGGAGTCTCCTCCGTGGGACTTGGTAGCGGAGCTCCACGCGTCAGTGTATCACTGGCGCGCGGAGCGACGTTCCATGGGGGAGGCACCCGCTGGCCACGAGATTGGAGCGCGGAGGTCCGACTTTCGGCGGATCCTCAGGATCAGGTGGAGAGAAAGGCTGGCCAGTCCATCGGCCGGCCTGAGGACCGTCGAGGCTGTCCGTTCCATCCTCAAAAGGTGGATAAGTAGGCGATGGCCACTGACGTACCGCATGACACAGATATTGTCCGGGCACGGTTGCTTCGGGCGGTATCTGTGTCATGTGGCGAGGAAGGAGCTGACGACCGGCTGCCACGAGTGCGGAGGTGTTGAGGACACGGCGCAACACACGCTGGAAATATGTCCAGCGTTTGAGAGTGAGCGCCGTGTCCTCACACGAATAGTGGGGGACGATCTCTCGCTGCCGAATTTAGTTCGGAGGATGATCAGTAGCGAGAGATCGTGGCTGGCGGTGAGCTCCTTCTGCGAGGAAGTTATCTCGCGGAAGGAGGCGGCGGAAAGGGACCGGGAGTCAGATCGTCCCGCTTCCCTCCGCCGCAGAAGAGCCAGGCCTAGAGGTGGGGGCGTATCCAACTCCGCCCCCCTCTATCCCCCACTGGGGCCGGGGTGACTGCCTTGAGGGAGGCAGTCCCCCCAATCCAAAGGCCCCGGAGGTGTGCGCGTGTACCCACACGCCTCCACAATGGAGTAGGGCGAAATAGGTCGCCCTAACCACAAAACGAGATGGGGCCTGCCCTACAACATCTACACTTGCGAATCCCCTGGCTCCGGCATAGGCGCTCGTAGGTACACCGTGTGGTTTTTGGTGAGTACAAATCTCACACACCGCCCCGCCCTCCCTCCGGCGGGGTGACGGTCTTTTGAAGATTTTCCACACGTTAAAAAAAAAAAAAAAAAGGCATGGCACCACCTATGGCAAAAAACGAGACTGGAAAAAGGAAAGTATTATGGAAGCATTCAACCGGAAATACTCTCCAAACCATGGTTCTTCTCCCAGCGCTCACTAGACAAATGGGTTACTTCAGTTATATGCCGCCTCCGACTAGGACATATATGTACTACCACTTTTCTTTTTAAAATCAGAGTTCGGGACCACTCTCTCTGTGAATGTGGCCTAGACGAAGGGACATTGGAGCACATATTTTTCACATGTCAAAACCTGTCAGTTCCACTCTACGATATGCTCCCCCGTAATATTGCCAGACCTATTAATATTCCTTTTCTTTTAACACTGGCCCACTCCCCTCTAGTTAAAATACTAGCCAAATTTATTGCTGTCAATAATATATTCAAATTCAAATTCAAATTCAAATTCAAAAATCATTTATTCATGTAGGACATTTTAGCCGCTTATGAACGTCAAATTTTTACATTATAATTTTATTTTTTTCCCTACCGTCCAGTTCGGTATATATAAAAATATAACCCCCTTTGTATATATTCCCCATATTTTAAAATCCTTGTCTATGTCATGTCTGTCAACCTGTTACATATATTTTATTATACATGTATTTTACTCAACCACTATTTTAATTGTAAGCTAACATGTGTTGTGTTGTCCTTATTCTTAACATTCTCAGCCAACTGAAACAGTCCTTTCTACGAACACAGTCAAGAAAACCGTAAACCACACCACTGTGTCTCCCAAACCACGACGTTGGCAAAATCACCGACCTCATTTGGTGGAAGCCATTTAAACTAAAAGAAGAAGAAGAAGAAGTATATGACATCAGAAAACTATGAAATTTATTGTGAAATATCTCGTTCCACCCGGAAACTACTAAAAAAAAAGAAGTTGGAAGGTTGGAGAAAGTTTTGTTCCTCAATCTGTCCCGAAGTTAACCTCTCTGTCGTTTGGAATAATATTAAAAGATTTAGATCTGTATATACCGGACACACATCGCTTTCCATAATGGATTCAAAATTAGCAGTCGAATTTTTAGACCGCCTTGCACCTAGTTACGTTCCAGAATATCATAATCAGCTTTCTCCACCAACCCAATTATCGAAACTCGATTCCCCTTTTAGTCTTATTGAATTTAAAGGGGTATTATCACATATTAAAGATTCTGCACCGGGAAAGGACGGTATACCGTACAAAAAAAACCGTTAAAAATTCTAATGATACAACACTAGTTTACTTTTTAGATTTAATTAATTCAGTAACACCTTCGGAGCCCTCTTCTTATCGCCCAATAGCACTTTCATGGGTATTACTGAAATTGGCTGAACACTTGGTGAAAAATCGTCTGGAGTGGTTTGTAGAAAGTAATAACTTACTTTCACCAAACCAGTTTGGATTTAGGAAGGGTAGAGGTACGTTAGATAACGTTAGTATTTTAACCTCAGATATTCACATAGCATTTTCGCAAAATGTGTTGATTTTATCAGCTTTCTTGGATATTAGTTCTACCTATGACAACGTCCTAATTACAATTCTTAGAACTAAATTGATAGCCTTGAATATTCCATTTATGCTTGCTAATTTTATTATTAATATTTTGTCAGAGAGAACAATAAAATTGGATTTAGGTGATGATAACAAACTATCCAGATCAGTATGGAAAGGTCTGCCTCAGGGATCAGTACTTAGTCCAATTTTAATATATATACTATTTAATATATATACATATGACCTTGAAACATCTCTTAGCAAATCCGTTAAAGTATTGCAATACGCGGATGACCTATTAATTTATTTAATAGATCATTCAATTCAATCTGCCTCTCAAAAATTGTCTGATAATCTTGACTTGTTGAAATTATGGTTAGACGCAAATGGTCTCGAACTTTCTGTATCGAAAAGTAGTGTAGTACTATTTACAAGAATGCGATCACCACCGCAAGTTAAGGTTTTCTATGATAGTTGTTACATCCCGGTTAAAACAGAGATTAAATTTTTAGGCATCGTCTTAGATAATAAATTAACTGGTTTATCCCACTGTAATTATATTTCTGCTAAATGCGAACGAAATCTAAATATTCTTAGATGTCTAGCAGGTGTATGGTGGGGAGCACATCCGTATTCTTTAAAACTAGCGTATAATGGCCTTATAAGGAGCGTCCTTGATTATGGAACTTTTTTGTTAGCGCCGGGAAGTTCTTTTGCCTTTAAGAAACTGGACCTAATACAATCCAAAGCTTTGAGAATTATATCCGGAGCAATGAAATCAAGCCCAATCAATGCTTTACAGGTTGAAATTGTAGATCCACCTCTAGATTTAAGAAGACAATATCTAGCTGATCGTTTTCATGTTCGCTGCTTACAGTTGTCTAACCATCCACTTATCTTAAAACTTCCACAAATACATCAGTATGTTACCTCATCTTCTTATTGGATACACAAAAAACCTCCGTGTTTAATAAAAAGCTTTGAAAAATATAAAGGAATATCTGCACCAATGTTTAGTTCCTCTTGTTCTCCAGTCTATAAATGCTCATATGAATCTCTGAATTTATGCCCTAACATTTATTATGACATAGGAATTTACAAAAATGATACGGAACAGGCAGCTAAATTCAAATTTATAATAGACACACAATGGAATGGATGGCATTGCATTTTCACAGACGCCTCAAAATCAAATAATTGTAGTTGTGTAGGTGTTGGTGAAATATCACGTACAGTATAATATCGTTCAAAAAATTAAACTTCCACCAGAGTCATCGGTGTTTACTGGGGAATGTATGGGTATTTTAAAAGCAATAGAATATGTACATATAATGAAATTACAAAAAGCAATCATTTTTACTGACTCAATGTCTTCACTACAAGCGTTAGCCAAATATCCTTTAAAATCGAAATCACTTCATTCTACTATTTACGATATACGAGAAAAACTTCAACTTTGTACATTAAAATAATATTCCGTTTCTTTTGCTTGGCTACCGGGACATTCTGGTATTCCAGGAAATAATAGGGCAGACCAAATTGCGAAGGAAGCTGTGCTTTGTGGAGATATGTTTCCTTATAAAAACTATTACAATGACCTAGCGTGTCTTCCAAAGTTGTATCTTAATAAATCTTGGAAGGAATATTGGCAGAACAGTAGTAAAACGAAAGGAAACCTTTACTGTCAGGTACAACACGACATTCCTATAAAGCCCTGGTTTTGTGGGATAAAGCTCGGGAAGACCGCGACAACTATATTAACTCGTATGCGTCTTGGTCACGTGTGCACACCGTCTCACCTTTATAAACTTGGTATTGTAGAAAGTTCCTGTTGTACCTGCGGTACTGAAGTGGTTGATCTAAATCACATTTTTTTCTCATGTCCGGATCTTGATCACTCCTCCTTTTTAAAACATCTCAGATCCATCCGTATCCCTTTCCCTACCTCTATTACAACTCTTCTTTTTCCAATGATCCTATTATTTATAAAATTTTAGCTGAATTTATATATTTAAATAGTATTAAAATTTAATATAATGTGTTCCGTATTGTATGTATATTATTTGTAAATATCGTATCCTATATAATTTCCTAACCTAATCCTTATCTCTATGCTACAAAATTTTCGTTGCTAGATATAAATTAATGACGTTTCCCCGTTTTGTTTTTGGCGAAATACCCTAAAATCAGGGTGAATGCCATACCACCAGAGAAAAAAAAAAACTTGTCAACTCTTTATATATTTATACCTTACTTCAATATTGATTGAACTTTAAATAATTGATACTTAATATATATGGATAAGACTTAAATTTTGAACACGAATTAAAACATAATGAATAAACATACATAAGAATTGGCCTTTAGCCTCATCACTTGTTCAAATATGAAGAAGTTTAAACGTAGACTAGGCTGTACGGTCTAAGGATCTTTGCCTGTTCCATCACTGAAAAGGAGATGGATGAATATGGAAAAAAAAAATTGTCCGGTCTTCGTAATTGTTTGTATATATTTTTCAAATTACGTTCTTACTTTGGCTTATAGTTCCAAGCTGTTTGGTTATATTTGGTTTTCTGGTGATATCTATATCATTCTGTTTATTAACAAGTATAAAACCAATATTATAGTAATATAAAATGTTTGCTGTAAAATTTCACAAACCAGTGGTTATCTTAAAACATAAACCTCAAAAACATTTATTGAGATTTATACATAAATTAGACAAACAAAACAAGCAATCTGTGATAACACCGGCTACCGACGTACTACATTATATAGACAACGTACCTGAATATAAATGCTTAAAAGACCAGTTACCGAAAGGTCTTTTAAAAAAATATAAAACGCCAGAAAGCATGTATTTAATAAACAAAAATACAGCTAAAGTAATAGCTGATACACTTAATAAATACATAGATAATAAATCACCAGTGGTGGAAGTGAATCCTGGATTAGGATATTTAAGTAAAGAATTACTTGACTCTGAAATTAATCATATTTATATGTTTGAATCATTGAATCACTTTTCATCTCATATACATGTAAGTATTGTTTCATACATGTGTATCTATGATATATATCTATTTAGTTGAATCATAAGCAATTTGTAGTGCTCTCTATAGCTTTTCATAACTATGAAAACAATAGAAATTTGTTTATCTTCCTCGAGAGCTAAACCTACAGTGGAAATTGTAAGTAATGAAGATGAGTAGCTGACCTACATGCATGATAGTGGGTAATTCCTAGTAGCTTTATTAATATAAGCAAACTAATCTGACTTCATGCTCATCATCTTTCACTGGTAGATCACCAGCATATAATGTTAGTGTAATAAATATTAATCCTTACAGAAAACCCTCAGTGATGTCATATACCATACCCCAATAGTGTGTACGACAGAAATGAAAGCTACTTGCAAAACTTGTCCTTATTTTGTAAATATATGTGTTTATATTGACAGCTGTTGCAGACTCAGTACCCTGATAAATGTACCTATAAAATAGCTGATTTCTTTGGCATGTGGAAATTGGCTTTTAAAGACAAAATGGATCAAGGCACTAGAATTAAAGATTTATTAGGTGATTTAGCTACTGATAATAATGGCAAGTATTTCTAATTGTATATTAACAAATACTACTTAATACTCAATATATATTTCAATGTTGATTTCACCTGTACTAATGGGTTGTGTTGGTTGACACTATTGAAAAAATAATATTTCTTAGACCATCATGTTTAATTTGCAAAAAACGTAATGTTTTTCAGAGGACAATCTATATTTAACTTAACTTAATTAACACATTAAACTTAAAGAATCTTTGAGTATTTGCAATTTTAAAATTGTTTTTTTTTCAGATAGAGTAGTTAAAATAGTGGGGTCTATGCCTGGCTTATCATTTATAAAACATTTAATGAACACTATTATATTTCACAATACAACAAATCAATTAGGAAGGCCAGATCTTTTTATTACAATGCCTGGTTATCATTATGAAGTAAGTATAATTGGAATGTATCATTTATTTGATGGAAATATTTGTGATATAATAAATTAATTTGTTTTGTTAACAGTGTTATAGTATATCAAAATTTATCTTACTAAAATTATAAAGCGGAAGTTTGTTAGTGTGATGGACAGATATTTGTTACTTTATCATGGAAAAGCTACTGAATGTATTTTAATGAAATGTTACAGTAATATAGCTTATATTACTATAATATTTATTTTACTATATAATTTGTTGCATTAAAATCTCTAAATTTTAATGCAACTTTCAACAACATATAGTGAATCAAGAGGAAGCTTTCTATGTATAATATATGTGTGTTATTGCATAGAACAAGCCAGGATGGGTTGATAATAGGCAATAAATTTAACGCAGATGAAACGGCAAGCACTGTTAGTATGTGATTAAAAAAAATTGTTTCTTTACTTATTACAGTTTCTTACAGATAATGAAATACAGTTCACCAAACACAAGTCAACTCCAGCCTTATTCCAACTTTTGTTTGATTTCAAAGTATTAAATAATGTTCCCAAAGTTCATTTTTTGCCATGGACATTTCCAGCAACTGGTAAACGGATGACAGTGGTATGTATTTTTTTCTTTATGATGACAGAATGGTTAGCCATCCTACATTAGTAAGCACTAGTGATGGATGGAAGGATGAGAATAAGACCAATTAGCATATTGCCCCAAATTAACCATAATTCCTAGGGGACACTGCAAGGAGGTTGAATTCAAAGTGCATTGCCAGCAATAGTGCTAACATAGTCCTATTTCTAACAATACCCAAGATGTAGGCAGTTATTGTGTTATTTTATGTAAAATTAAAATTATTAAGTTTTATATATAAAACATTTTATTCATATATAATATAGTATACAGTAATTTATTTCAACATTTTGATTGATGTAGAAGTACAATGTACAATTTACCCTTTATTCAATCAGAACAGTCCAAAATCTCCCTATTATGGTAACAGTAATTTCATTATTATGGGGGCAATACCAAGCTCTGTATTCAGCTCCTTTGTCCGGTTTCGTCCACTAGGCCTTCACCGTTCAGGCTATAAACTTTTTGAATGACTTACTTCTTGATATCAAGATCTACAAATAAATTTTCTTCAAAGCACAAATTAAGGGAATATTCTCTAAATTTATGGCAATATTTATCAATTTTTCTCTTCTCTCAATTCTATTGAATTGCCGTGACTATTATATACATATGTGTTTCTTCCATTGCTCTCTGAGTGACTTTGAGCTTATGCATGAGGCCCATAGTTAGCGACCACGTCTCTGTGCCGTATGTCGTCACTGGCAACACTCATTGGTCGTAAAACTTCGTCTTAAGACACTGCGGTAATCTGGACGAAAAGATATTATCTGGACGAACGATATTATCTGGATTCGACGATTGATCTATTTCTCGAAATTGGACCTACCTAGCTGGATAGTTTGCCCTAGATATATGTAGTGATCGACAATTTCGAGTATAGAATCTTCGATTTTTACGGGAGCAGGTACAACATGGGCGTTTCACATGATTTTCGTCTTGTCCATGTTCATTTTAAGACCTACTCCTTGTGAGACTCTACTGAGGTCTTCGAGCATTGTTCTAAGGTCTTCCAAGGTCTCAGCTATGACTACGATATCGTCGGCAAATCGAAGGTGATTGATATACTCGCCGTTAATGTTCATGCCCAGTCCGCTCCAGTCCAGAAGCTTGAAGACATCTTCCAACGCGGCGGTTAACAGCTTTGGCGATATAACATCGCCTTGCCACCACCTCGCTGCAGTTGGATAGGCTTCAAACTCTGGTCGTGAAGGCGAACTGACATAGTGGCGTTTGCGTACAGACATTTCAACGCTTCGATATATCGATAGTCAATTTGGCATCGCTGGAGAGACTATAGCACCACCCACGTCTCGATCGAATCAAAGACTTTTTCATAGTTCACAAACGCCAAGCAAAGTGGCAGGTTGTATTCTTCGGTCTTCTGAATTACCTGCCATAGCGTATGAATGTGTTCTATGGTACTGAAGCCTTTTCGGAACCCGGCTTGTTCGGAAGGCTGGAATTCATCAAACCTGCGTGCGAGACGATTTAATTCGACTCTCGAAAACTTATAAACATGGCTCAGCAGTGTTATGGGTCTGAAATTCTTCAGAAGCGATTTATCTCCCTTCTTGAAGAATAGAACCACCACACCCCTTTGCCACGCTTGAGGCGTTCTGCCCTCGGGGATGTCGGAGTTGAATAGGTTCTGAAGGATTTGTAGAACAGGTCTACCTCCAGCCTTCAGAAGCTCAGCGGTGACTCCACCACCGCCCGGCGCCTTGTTGTTTTTAAGTTGTTTCAGAGCCATACTAATTTCGTACAGGCTGACGTCCGGGATATCTTCGGTATAGTGTCGGGTTAATTTGGCTCTAGGATCTTTCGTCGTCGGGAGCCAGATCCCTGTTAAAGACTTTTGAGCCCTTGGTTTTCTCAATAGCCTCCTTTACACAATTTCTGTTAAAGTGGAGTAAGTCACGAGTCAAGGATTTAGAGATCTGCCTGCTAAGTTGCCTATACTGGGAAGCATCAGTCGGAAACGCCTATTACGCCTTTCATCCATCAGTTTGAGGGTAGAGAGAGATATTTTTCCGGTTCTATCTGCGCGGCGGGTTTTGAAGTGTTTAGACCCAGCCGCACAGACAGTTTCTACGAACCTGTTGTTGTAATCATCCACGTCAACGCAATCACCAAGGTATTCGAAACGGTGCTGCAATTCTAGCTGGAAGCTTTCGTGGTTTTGGATCTGTATAGGTGTTGGGCGGAGCGGAGATTTCATCAGTTGGGATCGTTCGAGTTTTAGATTCAGGTTCAATGTGCTTCTTACCATCCGGTGATCGCTCCCAATTTTGACAGTATTGATCACAGAGACATCATTGAAAATCTGTCTTTTCGTTGACGAGATGAAATCTATCTCGTTTTTGTGGCACCATCGGGACTAATCCATGTCCATTTCCGGTGTTCCGTCTTCTTGAAGGAGTTCATCATAAAGAGGCTCTCCCTCTCCATGAAGTCAGCCAGCATTTGACTTGGGATGGTCCGGTCACCGATACCAAATTGCCCCACTCTTAGCTCATCACCGTTCGTTTGCCCAAGTTTGCGTTGAAGTCCCACGATAACGCTATAATGAGTCTTTGTACTATGTATGGCTCTGGAGATATCCTCAAATATAGCCTCAACCTCATCGTCGGAGTGCGTCGAAGTTGGAGCGTATACTTGGATGACCTTCAACGAATACCGTTTTAAGAATAGAATAGAATAGTTTGGTTATTCTAAGTATCATGTACGCTACCCTAGTCGACATGCTCTCGACCTTGATAACATTACTCAAAAGGGACTTGTGCACGAGGAACCCGACACCGCCTTCCGCCATCCCGGAAGTATAGCAGATTCTTCGGACTTCAGAGATAATCCCACGATATGCCAGTGCAATCCGCTCAACTCTTCCTCCAGTTCAAATAGCTTCTCGTCGGTCCGCAGTGTTTGGACGTTATGTTGCCAGGGCCAGTCGTCGTTTATGGTAGCCTGGTCTTAACCGGGGATTCTTCGCGACCCCTGCCCCGCCGTTGCCATGACCGCTACCATGATCAAGACTAGCGGGGCTACCGGGGACTGGGGGCCAGGGCCTTGGGTGTAAATCCATTTGGGGGGATATTGCCATAATCGCCACGCTTGGCATGCGGGTTGGCGATCGCGGTGTGATGTTAGTTAGTAGAACGCTGCTGTGCGTCCACTGGTCGGTGAATCCCTTAGTCGCCTTTTACGACACCCACGAGAAGAGAGGGGGTGGTGCTATTCTTACGGCGACATCACACAAACAAAATACTATATATTATATTTAAGTATTTTGTAAATTTTGTTAACATATACATTGGATTCGCGCTAACCCGAGCCCCCTTGTAATCAGACATGGTCTATTATTTATTATTGAATATTTTTTTTGACAATCTTCGGTAATACATGATTGAACAAGTTTGAACTAGTTTGCATCACCACTGTCGTACTCGACGCGTAGGGTATTTGTTTTGATCATGAATGCTTAATTTGAATTTGACTACTCACATGTGATGGAAGATAGCGATGCAGTATAACATGTGCTCTTTGTTTACTGTTTATTCACATGTATACCTATCAGCTCAGAAGCGAGATCACAAAACACTGACATTTAAAGAAAAATGTGATATTTTAGATCGCCTAAATCGTAACGAATTATTTAGTAGTTGACATACATAATGAAGTATGATTTATACGTCAGAGTGCACATAGATACATACATATATAACATAGAATCTTATCATTGGATCTGTACTTTGTAGGATTACAAGGTACTCTTTTGTAAAAACTTCCGGACTATAGGAGACCCTTAGGCAGCACTCTATAATCCGAAAACTTCGATGGTCCGACACTGCCCTGCAAAACGTTTGTCGGTTAACCGGAGGTCCACTGTATGTATATATTTTAGTAATATAGTATATTATTGTATCCCTTATTTATTTTACGTTTTCTTTATAGGTATTTTGTTGCATTTAGTTTTTATGTTTGCACCGCCAACAATTATTCTCAACACTATCTATCAATGACAGATAGTGTTGAGAATAATTGTTGTGGGAGCAAAAATATAACTAATGGTAAACTGGTACAAAATGCGGCATGGTATTAAGTTTGCCAACTGTACACTATGTATTTGTAATGTGTGCATTAAAATGAATTAAATAAATAATATTATATTTTGTAGATGAATATCAACTGTATGTACCTAGTTAACATAACACAAAAGAAGAAATTACCTTGTCCACCTGAATATTTACCATTGCTTTGGTACTTTTTTAAACCGCATATGTTTTCGAAATCTACAAAAGTGATACCGTTCTTGGAGTAAGTACTGAAGTCTGTTAAGTAGATACATAATTTATTTACTATGTAATGATAATAAGTTCAAAAAATTTAACCAGAGCGTGTATTATGGGTACTAGGTAATTTATATAAATATTATAGTTGTATATATATACATACATGTATATTTATTTTGTAAATACATACATGGTATATCTACATAGAGAACACTCACTACATCACATACACTACACATGAATACAGGTGATTGACGAATCCAACCTGCGGCCATTAGAAGTAAGGTGAAGAAAATTTCGGTATTCCATTCTCTGACTGCACCATTACTGTTTGTGATCTTTTGTTCGCGCCAATATAGATTACTTTATACAGAGGTAAAACATCACAAAACTATTTAATCCGAATCCACAGTGTGCAAATGCGATCTATACTTTACTGATTTTTTTTCGTTTCTTAGGAAATATCATAATTATATGTTGTTGGTTTTAGGCAGTGGATACCAGGATGTGGCATATGGCTCATTTCTGGCCAAGATCCTCCAGACATTAATAAAGAAATAGCACCAGGCAAAGACGATGCAGAACTTCCACATATGACAATATTCACAGAATTTGGGGACCTGACTCTTAACCAGAAGTTAACTGTATTCAAAAAGTATGTTTCTTTGATTTTAAATTTAAGAATTACAATATTTTCTTCATTGTCATTTTATGTACATTCTTCTTGATGATCATAGTTATAGTATTGTATTTATGTCAGCTATATGAAACAGGAGGAAAGGGACCAATCTGTAAATGAACTACGCATATACATACACAGATGGCTTCAAAAATCAGAATGGTTCAGGAGCTGGAGCACATTCCCTCGACCTCAACATAAAGATATCGCGGTGTAAAAACAGTTCGATATTTCAATGTGAATGTTTTGTCCTGGCTGAGGCGGCAAGTGCTACTTAGAAGTTACGTGTTAACAACATTAACGTTAAATTCATATAGGACAGTGCAGCTATGCTGAAAACACGACAAAACAAGAAATCTAACAACAATTTGCTAACTGAGTGCCACAATCTAGTAATTATCCAGTGAATCACATGGTAACAATCATTATCCTTCTTTGAATTTTGACCTTGGATGTGCACAGAGATCAACTGAAATACATAACCAAGATGGAAAGATGGAAACAAACCACTAATTGTAAATCAGACATATCTGTATGTGTCGAATGTCATTGTCACCATGTCTGTGCTGACTGCGATTATTGTATTTTTACCTGGATCGGTCTGTTGAATGATTGTGGGTTACCAACCTTAGGGTTAGAAGTGATTGCTGGTAATGGAATACTCATTACTAGTGGTCCAATTGCTATCAACATATTCTATCAGGTCGACCTCCATGCCCTGGAACCCATTTTGCTTAATATCTAGTGAATATGCTACAATTGGTTACTGGACCTAACTTCATCCTCATTAAATAATCCCCTACTGGTGCCAGGCCAGAGTATGCTACATATGTATCATGTATAGCATAGGCGTTTTATTTTTTAATACTTTAGATACACACATCACATAAGACTTTCAATTATTATTTCAGATTTGTGTCATTACCAGAATTTGAGCATTGTCAGTTCAGATTAACTATGGAAAACAACTTGCCCAAATTTATCTTACCTATTGAAGATGAAGACAAAGACAGTATTGGCACACATATTGACGAAATTGAGCACTCAGACTCAGATATAGATACGATGTGAAAATAAAAGATAATATTAGAAGGATATAAGTGTTTTTCTTCATATTTGCATTATATTAAATAACTCAAAAAATATCTATTAAATACAATAATAATACAATTTTTTAGAATAACAAAATAATCATACTATATTTATATAGTTAATTTTAACAAAAAAGTGACGTCTTTTCATCAGTGTAAGAGCCTGTTATCGCTACTATTGGAAATAAAAATAAACATAAACAAATAATTCACATAAAGCTCTTTGTTTCTGGTATTTAGTAGTCATTTACGAATTGTGAAACAAGCTCTAATAATTATAATTTAGCTTATTGATAAAATACTGACAACAAATTAAATAATTGAAATAAATAATGGTTAATGTTCTAATTTCCAACAAAATTTATTTTTTACAATCTAATTCATACTAACTATAGTTTAGTGGAATTATAATTTTAATTTACAATGTACAATTTGAAACAATTACACAAGTGTTTAATGTATCTAAAGAATATTAGTACAGGAATATTGCCTGCGCTAATGCTTTTAAGGACCCTATTCCAAAAAACCTGAACTAACAAGGAACAAGTAATAAGATTAGACCATGGATTATGACCAAATTTCGTCAAAGGCAATACACCAATGGATCAGTCCTCTCGGTTAGTAGACGATTCCCCCTTCTAATTTGACAAATAGCTAGTATTATTTGAGAATATTTTCCCATAAATTAATTTAATATATATACATTACCAGGTGTCTGTTGTAGCAATTTCGGAATGTATAGATCACTTACATGTTACATGTTTTTATCTACTAAAACGATTGATATGGTTTTTGTATTACTACTGACAATTGTAGTAGTCCGTTGTTAGTTTGGCTTATTGAGAGAAGGCACTTAATTTTATTGATAAACATCAAAGAAATTATTTCTATTAACAATTGATAAAATTAAATATTGCTTTTTTCATGAAAATTGCGTCTAAATTACTAAACCAGGCAATGGTTTTATTTCTACACATTATTAATCATATATACATAATCTTTCTTTGACTATAATGGAAATTATAGGGACGGGATTCTTTCTATGTTTAATGTGCTATTTATTGCTACTGAAACTTTTAACTTAGTAACAAGTAGCTACTGTGGTCTGAGTTTAAATCTATATATACATACAACAATTATTCTAAGTTACAATAATTCTAAAACAGTTTTCTAAGTATAGGTATTATTTATTATACCACCACCCCTATTTACAGATAATATACTACAATTAAGTACAAATGATTATTTATAAGATATAATATTATTACTGTTTTGCACATGCTGTTATAAATTTTGAAAATGTCTATCATTGTATGAATTATGACTATTAGTTTTGGGTGTTATATAATTCAAACTAGGAATATCTAAAGGTATTTGATTATTTTTCATTCCATATTTCTTTTGATTCGTAGATTTCTGGATATTCGAATTAGTATGGACATTAAAACTGATAGTATTCAAACTATTTGGTTTTAAATTTGGACTTGAAACAAAATCTGTCCATTCATCGTCGTCGACAAAAGTTGACTTTTTTGGTGGCTGTGATTGCTGTTTAGGCTTACTGGACACAAATTCACCCCAAATGTCGTCATCTGAATTTTGATTATTTACAATATTTTTTTTATTATGTACTGGAGAAGCAGTTTTACTGTGGCTACTAGTAGACTCGTTTTTCAAAGACTGCAGTGATTCCACAGGATTAAATCGTGACAAATCTTGTAAATCTATACCAGGGTTTGGCCAATTAATCTGTGAATAGCTTTCCAATGATAGTGGTTGTAAAATTTGACCACTTTTATGCTGTGTTTGCGTCAGTCCACTATTGGACTGCACTTGGTTCGAATGAGATATTGGCGTTGGTTGCAACATATTTGTATTATCTATAGAAATTCCTGGAGCTAACCCTGTTCCCGTGTTCATATTCACTACTATAGAACTTGTAATATCTACGTTGGTCGACAAAGGATCGGTTGTATTTTCGTTATTAGGAAGTGATATGTTGTCAGACTTGAGATTATCCATTACTGAATTAACAATGTTGAAATCATTTGTTTTTGATGGTGTGGATACATTTAAGTTCTCGACATTTTGTGATGACTTGCTCTCTAAACTGCCAAAATTAAATTCAAAAGTTGTATTTGTATTAGATGACAAAGCAGATTGAAAGGTGTCGAATTCATCTTCGAAACTACTACTACTGGCTAATTGTTTCTTTTCCATTTTTTTAATGACGGTAGGTACGTTTTTGTCTACTAAAGCACTTTGTGTTGTGTAGGATATATCGTGATCATTATGTCTTAAATCTTTGACATCCTGTTTATCAACACAAGAACTAGATACAAAGTCAGCAAAGTCATCAAATGTTTCTTTGACTTCTCCAGGGTCGGGCCAATTCAATGTAGGCATTATTGGTTCTATTTTAATAGGTTCCAACAATTGCGTTTCATAAATAATATTTGTTTTAGGTAATGTATTTGAAGTAGCTTCTTCTTTTAATTGTGGCTGATTTTGAGTTACCGTTATATTTTGCAGTGTAGTACTAGTACCAGATGTTCCCTTAAAATCTTGAAAATCCCAATATTCATCAGTCTCAGCATTATTACTAATTACATTATCAACAGAATTAATAATTTTATTTTCTTTGTTTTGAACATTGTCCATTACTGGTTGAGGAATAAGTACAGTGGGCGCAGGTCCACAATCGTAATGGATTGTTTTAGACCTTGGAGTTTCTGAATCAGTAGGCGTAAAAATATGAGTATCAGGGAGATTAATTTGACGTATAGGTTGAACACTTAAAGTGCTTGAGTATATTTTGTTTCCTTTTGTTGACATCGCTGCTTCAAAGACATCTAAATCGGTTGGCGCCGGTTCTATGACAGTCTTGTTACTATTATTACTACAGGCTGAAATATACAACAAATAATTTAAAGCTTTTTGGTATTGAGTAATTTCACATATTATTATAACGGTACATAGATTTCATACAAAATTATACCCATGGTTGCCTCTGCCTTGTCTATTTATACCACTAAACAACGTTTGATTATCGTTATTGTTTGAAGAAAAGGCAATGAAAATACAATGCACTTATAAAAAATAGTATAACACGCTGTAAGGGCCCGCAGGCGTTCTGTGAACCATGATGACGCATTATTCATAGTGCTGTACTATTCGCCATGTTAGCCCCTTTCCATGGTATGGACAGAAAAGCTCGTTTGCTATATCAGATACATATAAAATCCTGATATTAATTAAACGATAGCAGATTTACGATGTCAATGAAGGCTATTCCACAAATACATACCTAATATTATGAACAAAACATAATGATTGAGTTATACTTTCTTACTTTCCACATAGCTTTATTATTATAGTATACCTGCTAATTCAATAAATTGTTTCCAGCAAATATTAGTTACATTTAGTAACAAATAACATTTATATAAATCAATACCCAATCATAATGTTCTTAGGATTAACATTCACTCATAAATATTTGTAGTATAAAACACAGTGCTTGTGCAATTGAACAAACTTGTTAGTTTCTATTTGGATTTGGATGTTACTTACCATGTGAAAGCAATTCTGATATCTTGAAAGTGGAATGGTTATGAGCCATTTGGTCTAGAGTGGCCATGAGATGTTCTAAATCTAGGAGGAGAGCTTCAGCATAAGTGGCTAGGATATTGGATCAAGCAGGGAATATGAGTGGTGGTTTATCCATGTGCAAGACATGCAAAAAATGTACATTTGTGAGAAAATATTGTGAAGGTTATTTAGCATTATTCTACTAGACATAGTTTGATATTCTAGAATTACTGTTATGAGGAACCGATTTTGAAGACATCTTAATCTCAGACAAGAGTCAAGTTGTTGGTTTTGTTCCATATTAATATTTCAAGATTGGCAATACATAGAGCTTTATTGTATTCCAAACTATGCAGAACTATATCCTAAACAACTGTTAGAAATACTTAAATTCTTTTTTTTTTGCAAACATTTAACAATACAAATCTTTATATCTTGCAAGAAATCAAACCGGCAAAATAATAGGTAAGATGCTGTGTCATTTCCATACTTCTATTTAAAATACATACAAATTTAAATATGTACATTTTGACTATGAGTTACCATAGCTAGTATACCGCAGTTTGTAGTAATACACAATTCTGCATATGTATACATGTTGAAATTGTTTCTTGTTAGAGTAATATGTATAGGTTATTAGTTGTTACTTACATTCCTGTCCATTTGATGTAAATGGGTCAGTCCAGGTTCCAGATTTGTTTGTAACTTTATCATTGTTAGAAATCTCTCGCTGCATGGTACCTGGTGTGGTTTGTTTCTGTGGTTGAAGTGGTGCTGTGCTAAGATTTGCAGCATATTTTGGCATACTGTTGCAACTCCACTTAGGACTGAATAACTGAAATTGTAGTAATAAACATTAACAACAAAGAATGTCTGGGGTAATATATATTGATGTTGTTTGGTAGTAATAGTAATAGTAGTAGTAGATAAGTTTATCTAATTTTAATAATTATAACTGGTTTGCACCAATTTCAATGAATATTGAGGAGGAAAATCAGGTTAGTGAAATTACTAAAAATGTATACAATTAAAAAAAATACATAATTAAAAATAGTACCTTATAATAATATAAATATCAGTTTATAAAGTACAGATATAAAAACAATAAAGTTAACTTTGCTAGAACTTGTTTATGGGAACTAATTATTGTGTGTGTTTGCACCAATTTCAATGAATATTGAGGAGGAAAATCAGGTTAGTGAAATTACTAAAAATGTATACAATTAAAAAAAATCACCAAATCAATATTACTTAAATGTATACAACATAAGTATTACTTGCTATTAATAATTGACTACAAACATTTTTGGGTAAACAAGTAAACATTTTTTGTAAACTGACTGTGTTCTGTATTACTTAGCATTAATTCACCCAAAAGTAAGCCCTATATGTTAGTCTGGGATATGTATATAAAATTTCATTCATTTCTAGTAGTTTTTGTCTGAAAGAGTAAAACTTCAAATCAACTATTCTCACAAAATTAAACTTTGTAATATTAGTAGGATGAAACAACTCAACCCAATATGTATTTTATTTATAAAATACAGATATTAATACAAAACTGTTTAAATACTCACTATATTTCTAGAATCAATGCATAAAGCTTTTAATAGAGTTTTTTGTGCTAGAGATTTACTCCAATTTACCATATAAGGTTGGCGTACATCAGTTTCAACCAAGTGACCCCATGTTTCACTGAGTAAACCATCTAATGTTCCTTCAAACTTTTCTTCAGTCTCTTTAAATTCTTCTTCAAATATAGAGGTTAATATGTTATTTATTCTTTCCATTATTTGAACTTCAGTATCTGGTGATTGTAAATTTAAGACTGGTACTTGTTGATAAAGTGATTCATGTGCTTGAGGTAATGTAGTTCCTATAGTTTCTACAACAGAGGATTTAAAATCATCAAAATCTCCAAATTCATCTTCATTTTCTACACTTTGAGTGGCTTTCTTCTGTGTTTGAGTCTGGTTATAATCAGTAGATAAATCAGTATGTGACAGTGTTGTGTTTAACTGATTGCTGTTAATATTTTCAAAATTTGCTGTAAAATTACCAAAATCTGAGTTTTCTGTTTCAACATTCTCCCAAGGATTTTCAATCATTTGGATTGTATCAACAATACCAGGAATATTGTCAATGTCTTTATTGTGTGAACTAATAAATTGGAAGTCATCAAAGTCTTCATTCAATATATCTTCATTTTTAGCGTTAAGAGATCGATCCAATTCTTCTTTACTTGTTTCAGATACAACAACAGATGTATTTTGCAAATCTTGATTTTTTTCACTTTCATTCATTACTACAGTACTTTCATCTACTACATCAAAAGATTGCAAGTCTTCAACATGTTCTAAGCTTTCAGTATAATCATCTATATTTTGAGTTGTAGGGATATTACTCATATTGTTATTAATATTACTTAGAATATTTGGTAGTTCTTCTCTTATAGAATTATTGCCATCATTGCCATCAGTTAATGTTACTTCATCCTTTGGCTCATTTTTGCTGTTAACATTTACAGATTCTTCATCTAATTTTAAACCTAGATCTTCAACAATGTCTTCTTCAGTACTCAATTTATTTGTTATACTGGCCCCAGTGATTTTACCAGTATGAAAGTCAGATTCACTGAAAATGCCATTATTTACAAAATTTTCTATGTTTCCTATACTTGAAGATTCTTCAATATTTTCTGATAATGAAGATTTATAGTGATTAAATGAACTAAAATCTCCATAATTATATTCAGTGTTGTCATCATCATCATAATTTGAATCTATAAATATAAATTATTGAGTAAATGTTACATATTTATAGAAGTTCATTAAAGGGCCAATATTATTTAACAGGTTTAAAACAATTAGTGTTAAGTATATTGATGAGTTAGAGTATTAGTATCTCAATATTAAGTTACAATTTGTTTTTATACTCATCTAGAAGCAGATACTGTTCACATGAGATTAACATAAGAATCATCTTATGCTAACAATTGTTACCATCAATGAAAAGTAAATCCAATTGTTGCAGAACATTTTGTTCTCTGCTTGAATAGAGAATTTATTAAAAAATAGTACCTTATAATAATATAAATATCAGTTTATAAAGTACAGATATAAAAACAATAAAGTTAACTTTGCTAGAACTTGTTTATGGGAACTAATTATTGTACTTGATGTGGTTCCTATAATTCACACAAAATCATTATAAAAACATAATTTAATTGCATTGTTATTCACTATGTTCATTATATTGATGTTTATTAAAGTATATGTGGATTTGGGGTAAATTACTTACGATTATATTGCATATCAAAATCTTCAGTATCTTTGTCATCCTCGCATTGCTCAGGAGGTGGAGGAGTGCTACAAACAAGTGGAGGTATCGACATTTCTCGAAATTAAAACTGCACTGAAGATTTGTAAAAACAAACAATTTAACATTTGATGTTATTATAAATAATAACATGCCGCATGCTGTTTAAAAGTAATGATCTTCACAACTTAAAATGAAAACATCTGTTAATAATATCTAACAATTGAGATTTTACTAAGACGACTCGTAGATGCACATAGAATAGGCTCGTGTCATGTGTCAATCTGTCAGTACCAAAACAGAATATATAGAATGACTTCAGCACTGACAATATGAAATGAAAGTCATGGTACGGGTATTTCTATAATTATTTAATTTACTAAAAGAAGTTAAAGATATAAATAACAGGTTTACACTGTAATTAATGTACTAAATTCTTTTCGTAAAGTTCATTTGAGTACACAACTACCTCATAAAAAAAGTATATAGAAATGACGTCGAGTATTAGCGTAAGAAAACGTCTTTAAGCACGCTTTTGTAATTGCATGCATATGTAAGATTCAAAATTTTAAATCATTCGCCGATTTTCCATCTCTATAGTTCTCCCTTTGTATATGACTTGTCTGTACATATTGCTCTGTACTGAATTACCATTTACCAACTAAGCCGTTAGTCTGTGCAAGCCGCATCCGTATCCTAAACCAATCGGCTTTTAATTTTATATTTTATTGTTATATATTTAGGTGTATCTTTATAAAATTGATAAATCTTTAAAACACTGTCGCAAATAGTACTAAATAATTCAGGTAAGCAAAATTTTGTTGTATGTACATAAATTGTAATGTGATACGGCACAGAATTGAATAAATATTGTGAATCTCTTTATATATATTTAGCATACCTATAATCTAATTGAAAATGACTAAACTTTATACTTTTACCGATGTTGTGTATTGTGTGATTAGTTGGTACTGTTAATATAAGATTATAGAACTAAGAGAAAGCACTGTCAATAACCTTTGACATGTGTCATTGCTTACGTGTCTTCTCGGCTCCCTTTATCGCATAGATAGATACCTTCATTTTGTGAACCGTCCCCCATGTATTTTTATAAAAAGGTAACAAATCTTCGTGGCGACTAAGTTTTAAACATTTGTAACATAGAGGTCTGTATAAATTTGTCTTTACATGAGCTTTATTATTTGTTATCTACATTGTAGAACTTATTCCTCAAGTAGCGGTCATTTGAAAGCAATAGTAAAAAGCTTTTCAATTATCAACGTATTCGTATTTCACATGATATAGTGATTATGATTATTTTATTTATTGTGATGCCGTGTTAACTGATAAAGGAGCAATAACGGTAATCTATTTATTGACCCGGGTATCAATACCCTACAGGTTATTATTATTAAGTTCAGTAGGTACAGTGAGTGCAACAAAGTATATATACTATTATGTAGTATTCTTTTATATACTGTAGACTGCACAGATAAGATAATATAATTTTACTATCATATGTATTATGGATGCAAAAACACTTATAGGAATATCATACATCTCCACATCAACTTAAACATTGTCTCAACACACCACACTTATATGTTAAGACATCATATTCATATGTTTGATTATCTCTTTTAAAGATGCAAGTTCAATTGTCTATTGGACACCTGTTGGAGTAAACTAGTTAGTAAGAGTTAGTGAACCTGCCACATTGCCTTGAAAATATGTGTATGGAGTTCTATACAATTCACAAATGGAATAACCACATACAAAATTTGTCTCTGCATACCCATATAAACCAATTATCATTAAACTAGTTTTAATATATGTTTAAAATAGTATTGTATTTCTAGGTGGATAGGCCTGCATTGGATTCAATGGAATTGCAAGCAGTGCTGGTCTTGTGTGGTGTGGGAGTTATTGTAGTTGCTGTATTATTGCTAATGGGGTTGTTTTCAACCTCTGGCACTAGCTATGAAGAAGCTATTGCCCAGCAACGTAAAGCCACAACTGAATTGCTTGCCTTAGCAGAAAATAAGAACAAGCCAAAAAAGAGCAACAAAAAGGCAAATAAAAAGGTAAAATTATCTATAATATTAAATTATTTATAAGATAATACTTTCATCATCTTTCCATCTGTTATGCAAAAAACATACAAATATATATCTTGCTTGTAAACTTATTACTAAAATATTCAAAAAACTTAGCTGAAAAGCAACATATGTTTAAGTGTCTATTTAACTTTTGTAAATGATTGACAAGTCTGTGATTGTGATTAATGAAAATTTAAAACAATACACAGAATACATACATAGCTGTGTATTCTTTTTTATTATAGCTATATATAAGTCAAAGATTGAAACAAACCTATAATTGTCTGTTAACAGCTCTAAGAACCTAATAATAATGAAATATCCTGTGTTATTTTATTCACTTTTAAATAACAAGGTAAACAATTTTTTTTTATGCTGTTGATAATGCCTGTGGGCTGCCAGTGGAGAATGATAGGATGAGATTGAAGTCTGGTCAGTTAGTCCTTTGTAATGAATTCATCAGGAATTTACTACAAAAATAATAATATCTCAGCACCTCTCTGATTCTCCCACCTTCGCCAATAAATATTTAGTTTTTCCAAATTTGAAACAAATATCTTTTTATTCATACACAGTTAGCAAAGAAGGAGAAAAACAAGGAAAATGCTGGACTAACAACTGGCAGTGAACTTGAGAGTGAGGCACCAGCGGAGAGTGGCATTGATGATGATACTGTTCCTGCAGCAAAACCACATGTAGAATTTTGTCCACCGGTAGTTGTAGATGTTCCTCGGGATTCACCCCCAAATATTAAGGTAAGTTTTCTTCTAATGTTTTAATAACCAATACATAATTGGTAATCCCAATTTATATATGTTCACACATTATTTTGTTGGGGTGTGGGACCAACTTTGAGGCATATCCTATTTTTTTAATATCCAAAATCCTAATAAATATGTGTCTTATACTCATTGCACAAGTAAATCATCTCATGTCTTATTATAAATGAAAATTGCCTGGTACATATAACATCACAACTACTGGTTCTAACACTTTTTAATACACACAGATATTATACATTGATCATTGTAAAGAAATAACTTATAGATATAATTACAAAATAGAATCGCCTCTTATAATAAGAAAAATGAATATGGTTCCCAATTATTATAATGTGAGAAACTGTTAAATATCTTGCCATAACTTGCATTCAAACATTTTAATAGCATGTGTAAATGTCTGCTTCTGTCTTCTGATTCACCATCAACAATTCAATTTAACAGGGATCTGCCTATCTATAGTCTAATTTACATTAAATGTACACTTGTATAATTACAATTTTTTAACCCAATTTATCTGTCATCACAGACTTTGTAGGGTTGAGATTGACACCACCTTTGTAATTATTTTAGGTATTAAAATAGCATTAGTTATAGATTTATCAAAGTAATTTTGAAATGTATCAATGCCAACACTGGTTGTGTGAACAGTAATCTGTAATAACTTTTTAAATCAATTTATTAATTTATTGATCTCATGTGGTCATCTCATGGGTGTCATCTCTAATCATGTAGATTAAAAGTAGGATTACTTTAATCATAAGTAGTTCAATTATGATTACTAGTGATAATCATAATTATTAGTTTATTAAGGTTTGATTTAAAAATCAAGTAAGCCTGTGACCCTTTGATTTCCCTCTGATAAGGGTTTCACCAGATTCTTTGCAGGATTTTTTTCCAGGAATTCACCACCACCACTTACACTTTATTCTGATGTCCATAATAGGGACTTGACTGAAATAAATTTTATACAAAGTTATTTACTGTTTTACTACTTTGGGTCGGTCAAACAGCTTCCTTTGGTGGTGATGATGATGTCGATTTTTGAAGAACATAGATTCATCAAAATCATCATCAACCTCATCATTACCATCATAACAAGGATATTTTCATACATATTTTTATTCATAAGGATATGTCTCAACAGATCCGCAAACGCAGTAAGGATCCTAAAATTAAACCAATACTATTAAATAAAGAGGATCCAAGCTGCATTAGCAATTCGAACCCGCTACCTTTACCCACCGCAACTGTGGTCTCCAACCATTTTGAGGAGATGCATCCTAAGGACGAGTTCGAGTTATTGCAATCGTCACTCGCCGCTGAAAAAGTGAGTTGCCCTCCCGCACTCATCTTTGTTTTTGTCCCGTGTCGTGTTTGTTTTGAGTGGAAGTATGTTATTGTACATATTTTTGACATTGGTTACATCTTATGGTTTGCCTTTACACGTTTTTCATTTTTTTGTCTTATTGGTATTCATTGTACTCAGTACCTCAATGTCATCAGGTCATCACAATTAATATTAGTGATTTATATTTAGCATTATTTATGCTTAACTGCATGCTACATAATTTCTGTCTCATTGGTCTGGTTTCTGTTTTGTATATTTATCCATTATTTTTGAACTAAACTAACATAAATAAATTATAGTATACATTTCTTAATATAGGTAATTCTTTTAATTGATTTTAAATATTTTCTGTATATATAATAAGATAAATAAAACATGTGCCAGTGTGATTTATTTATATAAAGACTTGTTATAATTTTTTTTTTATGTATTTTGATCATTACTAAGTTGGAGTGAGTAATCTAATATGTACTGGCTTATGAAGATAATTATAATATATAATTATATATTTACTAGTTGCCCGAAAAGAAAGAAGAGATAATAGAGAAAAAGGAGAATAAAGCAGCTAAAATAGTAAAAGTAGGCAAAGTAAATTCGAAACCCATTCCGCCTACTGAGTCCATCAGGGATGAAGTCGCTCCAGAGCGAAACTACAGTGCCGATGTGCCAAAAGAACAACGTAAAGGTACCGCATTTTTACACTAACCTTATTTTTTAACAAGTAGTTTTTGCTGTAAGTTTTGTGGGTTTGTTATTCAGACCAAATTTTTAGAGAGAATTGTGTGGTTCAACTTTGATTTTCCATCAGGCCGATTGGTTAGAAATTAATTGATTAGAAATAAGGTTTTCTATGGTATTAAATGAAAAGTTATACATACCGAAAACTGCTTTTTGGCAACTTTTGCTTCAGATTAAAATTAACACTTATTTTTAATATTCAATTCGTTATATACCGTTTTTTATCTAGAAAATATCTTGTTCTATTATTAATATAGTTTTCCATTCACGATTAAAAATCATTCCTCCTATTTAGGCATGTATTTTCTTTATAATCAAAACATTAAAATTCTAAAATGGAATTATAGGTAGGAAAGCTGAGAAAAAGGTTGGGAATGAAGAAAAGTCAGATCTTGTTAGAGAGGAGGTTATTCCTCCATTGAACACACCACAACCAAGTGAGCTCACCACAGAAAAATTGCTGAAGCAAGCACTGGCTCCAAGCTCAGCACCAGCTGTTGCGGCCCCGCCACCAGTCATCAGGAACAAGAAAAAGAAGCCCGAGCCAAACATTGTCACACTTATGGGTGAGTACTAATGTCTTTCCAGTATATAGATATATGTCTAGTTACGCAACTTACTAAGCTTGCTTACCCTATCTATACTTATAATATTATAGAGGTAAAATTTATATGTTTGTTTGTGGTTATCTCCAGTTCTGATGATCTTATTTTAAAACTTATTTCACTGTTATATGTGAAAGTTTTTTACGTTAAAGTATATTCCCGAGGGCTGTATAATATAACGCCACGACCAATAGGACCGGAGCAGCAATGAAAAATGTGGCCAGAGAATATTAATTTTGAGTTCTGGTTGGCCTGCGTAAACCGTTAAAGTTAAGAGGCCTATTACAAAATGATGCCGCTCAACTTTAGGTTTAATCGCATGGATTTACGCACACACACAGAGATACACGCACACAGACGCAAATAACCGTGTAGCGCAATCGGTGTGGATTTAGTATGAACCATTTTGATCCTTGTAATATTTTAATTAATAATGTGATATGTTTCTACTTAACTGAGTAACATAAACTACTTGTTGTATTTTTTTAAATAACGTGATTTATCTTAATTATCAAAGTGCTAATAATGACCATATTTTTTTATTATATTATTCCTAGAGGGTTGATGTCAGGATGCTGGCCGATTGTACAACTAAAATATGAGTAACAGATAATTGGGATAAGGACAGGAAGATGAAATTACTATAACATAAATTTACTAATTAATTCTTCTTACATATTAATTCAGTTTATTTATTAATAGATACAATATAATTTATTATAAGGTCCCATCCTTATATGTATATTAGGTGTGTCCGCAACTTCGTCAGCGTGGTATAATGAAATTGACCAAATAAAGGAAATATATTTAGATTATAACCTAAAAAAGTTTCATTGTTTCACTTAAACAATGACGATACTTTTATACAACCTTTCATCTCCGCTTTTAATCCCTTACAATACTTTTTTCGCACTATAAAGTAGTCTATGACCTTTCTCAGGGTATACTATCTGTGTATATGTATATCTATCTATATAGACTACCTGTGTATATATATGGTAGTGAATTTACATGGTACAGGGGAATAACACCCGAGTTTTCAGGAATGGCAACGCATGAGGGAAACAATATGCTGATATGAACATGTCAGGTACTGTTCATGTATATAGGCGACGGTTACCCCTTTCCATCAGGAGAGCCGTCAGCTTGTTTGCCATTCTAAGTTGTAAAAAAAAAGCTTCAACTGCTATCATTGCTGTTCCTGCAGCATTGACGTCGCCGCATGATATTGGCTGATATTGCAGCTTCTCGTTCTTGGTTAGCCGATTCTTGATTCTTGATAAATAATTACTTGTTAATATCAAACCTTTTTATAAATTATTACAAGACGCCTCATTGATTATATGTAAGGAAATCACCATGAGCTATAGAGATTTTGGACAGAATCTTAAAAGACCTTAGAAACACCTCTGCTCTCATTGGCGGGATTACTTTTATACTTTTGCTGGAGATTTCTGAAAGACTCTGTGTCATTAACATCGTCTCCCTTATGGACTTTAATTGAAAGTTTAAAACTACTGACAAATTTGAGAGCTCATTTTTATGGAAGCACAGATAGTGATTTCCCACACTAACTACTCAAACTTGAGGAAGGAATTTCTCAAAAGCATGATCCAGTCATGAAATTTAAGCCCGCCGAACATGTGCAATGGCGTCCCATTGGATATGTTGCTTACTAAAGAATTGAAAGACAATTTAATTGTAGACCATTATAACCGGTACGATAGCTGGGCAACCAGCTTATATACCAAGAATACCGATGATTCCAACTGATCTGCCAATACCATTTTAACGACTTCAATTTCCGGTTAAAATATCATCTACACATGTAATAGATCTATGTATGTTTTGATCTTAAAAAACTACGCAGATTTTGATTCGTTGTTATTTAATAGACAGAATAGATAGACTCAAGAGGAAGGTTTATATATAACGTCCCAATACTGTACACGGATCTTTAAACGCGCGATAACCTATATATCCCATATTCACGCGGGCGATGCCGCGAGCTAAAAGCTAGTCTCTAAATAAAAACATTTATAATGTTGTTGACTTTTCACCCAAACACGCATAATTATTTGACATAACTGTACAGTAATGAAAGTCCAACGAGTATAATAACAGAATGGCTGCAATTTAGAAATATCTGTATTGTGTAAAATAAAATAAAGTAAATTGGATAAAATATCTCTAAACATTAAGGAATATAATTTATATATAATTTGGTAATTTATTTACAATCCACATTGCATACTAGATGATATAACACAAGACAAATGTACGTAAAAATAATAATGGTATTTTTATAAACAATAACCCAATTTTAATTTAGAAAAAACTACAAAATAAACATAAAGTAAAATTGGTTTACATTTTCTTACATTTTTCTCTCAGATAAGCGTTATTTTTAAAAATACTAAAATGTTCTCTTTTTTAATTTTAACAATTAATTGCCATTAGTGTGACGAAATACCATGCTCTTGTGCTTTTCATAGTGCAGCAGGGTAGGTAGGTTTTATTTGTAGCATAACTGTACTTTTGTCTTGGCATGCTAAAATAAATATTATATATATATATTTAACAACAACTTTAAATTAATATTCGTAGAAATAAGTATTAATAGCTAAATGGGTTTTTTCTAGCTATTACCAGAAATGAAAACGTATTTTATATTCTAATACTTTATTTGTACGTCTTAACACAACTGTGGCCAAGACAAGAATGAATAATTATCTCTAAATATCGTTTACAGATCAGTTTTGTACCCTCACTATTTTTATAAAAATTATGAAACTAACTCGGTCGATATCAATAACATTACTTCTATTTATAATTAAACAATTCATTATTAATCGGCATATAAGATCATGTCAACATTCAATTATTATAAATATATCTGCTATACAGCTCTGTATATTTATTATCGTAACTATTATAATCTAACATTCGGCCATTCTGATAAAAAGAGTTTGTCCTCAAACTTATTTGTATTTATATAAATCAATAATCATATAAGTATAATGTAAACAAAAACATTGATTAGTAATAACTACCCAAACAACTGAAGACACTCAAAGTCTAGTTATTTTCGCACATCATTCATCATATCACACATAGCTACTTCAGTCTGCAGCGGACCCCTCATCGCGGAGTCAAGAGTTAAGTTCACTACAGGACTCCGCAACCGTGTCACGCCTTCCAGATTTCAGTATCAACACATATGATCATCTGCAGCGGGCCCCTCATCGTAGAGTCAAGAGTTAACTACAGTCAGTAACTATAGTTCGCTACAGGACTCCACGACCGTGCTTCGCATTCCAGATTCACAGAACATACAACCTGCAGTGGATCCCTCATCGAGAGTCAAGAGTATTTCTTTACTGCAGGACTCAGCGATCGTATCTCACATTCCAGATTCCAGTATGTACCACACAAATATCAAAATCTGTAGCGGACCCCTCATCACAAAGTCAAGAGTTTCTTTTCACTACAAGACTTCATGACCGTGACACGCATTCCAGATTATCAACAAATTACTTTCCATAAATTATTTATTCTCCATCAATATTACATTTATTCATAATAATGTTAAATCTTTACTAAACTATAACATACAATGTATCACTTCAATTATTCATTTGTTATAAATCAAGTACCAAGTTTATCTTCATCACAAGTTTAAGACATCTATAAATTCACAAATCTTAATCTACACAATCAATAAATTCTATAGTGCTTATACATATATATCTTATACTATATCAACCTATATAATTCTAATAAATGATTCACTTTCAATATCTATTAATTTGTTATCGTAAATCACATGGTACAATTAACTTTAAACAAATGTAAAACCAAATACATAGTAATTATCATCTTACGCTAGGCCCTCTCCACCATCTGAAGAATTGCTATCACTATTTGCCGCGACAGTAATCCAAGGTTGTATACGGTCTACTGACCAGACATTAGTATATTTACCTCGAGAGACATGAGAACCCGGAATACTAGATATTTCGTAACGATCATTTCCTAAAACTTTACTAACTCTAAATGGACCAGTGTATTTAGGCAAAAGTTTACGACTTTTGCCATTATTAGAAGGAGTAGTTTTTAATATTTTAACTAGATCTCCCACTGAGTATATTTTGGCTGTTTTTCTACTCTTATCAAATCTAGACCGTTGTTTAGCTTGATTATTTTCAATGTGTTCACTAATTTCCGTTCTTATTATGTCAGTTTGTTTGTCATTCTGTCTAGTTTCTATAATAGTCTCACCTAACAGTCCTTCGCCACGATTGAGAGGACGTTTACAAAATAATGATTCAGCGGGGGTTTTTCCCGTTCCTTTATTGAGCGTATTATTGAGACCCCACTGAATTTTCCCAAGATCTTGGTCCCATTTATTTTCGCCTTCCTTATCAGAGTAAACCCTAAGTCCATCTAATATTGTGCGATTATAGCGCTCAACCTGTCCGTTGGCTCTAGGGGCTGATACTGCATTTAAAATATGTCGAACTTCAAATTCATTACAGAATTTTTTAAATTCACTAGATGTAAAACATGATCCACGGTCTGTAATTATGCGTGATGGGTGTCCAAAAATGTAAAATATTTCTTTCAGAACTTTAATCGTGGGTTTTGTTTTAGTATTGCGCAATGGTTTAACGACACAAAACTTTGTAAATCCATCTACTACTACTAACAAATACTGATTCCCTTGCGTGCTTTTTACAAAAGGACCTAGGTGATCCGCATGGAGAGTGTGAAACGGAATATCAGTTTTAGGAATACTATGGAGAAAACCTTCTTTACATCCAGCTGGCTCCTTACCGAATGCACAATGTAAACAGGACTTTACGTACTTACTGACAAACTTATTCATTTTTGGAAACCAAAAATCTCTTTTAATCTTTTCTAGTGTCTTTTCTACCGAAAAATGTCCGATATCGTCGTGA